CCGGTTGCCCAGCACGAAGGCCAGGAAGGAGAGGATGAGGGCGTCGAGGATGCCGATGATGCAGAGGATGTAGGCCCAGCGCACGGTGCAGGCGCCCAGCGTGTATTTGTCCGTTTTGTCGCCGCACATTCGCCTCACCTCGCTCGAGTCCCAGCCGTCGGGGTAGATCAGGCAGCCGATCATCAGCCCTGTAGCTGCGGGGACAGGGGGACATCGGGCTCCTGAGCTGATGATGGTGCCTCAGATTTTTAGCTTTTTATGTTTTACATAAATTCGGAGCTTTGTAGATTGCTGTAGCTTCTAGTGGGTTTTTTTTTCTATCTTTCTTTCTTACCTTTAGGAACAGTAAGCTAACCTTATAAATAGATTCCTATATATTGTTTAGTCTTATTCCAAGAAGAGAACCAAGTTCAAGAATGTTCTGGTTTCCAAACCAGACATAACAAAACTGGGGCAAAAGAAACCTCTGTACTGCTCCCAGAGGGTCAGGACCACAGGAATTATTACCTAACTAACTAACCTTTAATTGGACAGTGTATGATAAGTGCACTAATCTCCTAACCTTATAAAAATTGTAGAATTAACTATACCACATATACTTTTCACCACGTTGTTCACCTGAAAGCTTTCAACTAAAGGTTTGCTTTTATATTCACCCCAATTGGAAAGATGTATTCTATTTTCCAGGCATCAACACTGAAGTGCAGAGAGCAGCTGGAGGAGCAAACATCATGCTGCAAACGCATCAGGTACTACAGACTCGTCCCTCAAAGGCACTGTGGTTGTTCACCCCCCTGGGCTCTGCTCTGCTGCACGGGCAGGGAGGAGCAGGAGCTGCTGTGCTGCCTTCCCACGAGTCAAGGACGTGCAGCACCAGCATCTCCTGTCTCAGCGTTGCCCAGCAACGTCTCTGCTCCCTCTGCACAGAGCCTTGGCCGTGTCTCACCAAGGAAATCTCCTCCAAACAAAACTGGAATGGGTTTAGGCTGCACGAGAGGGAGACCCTGGCCCAGCGCCTTGCAGCTGGTTCCAGCTTGGGGTTTGCTAAGGTAGAGCTGCTGTCAGCAGCAGCTTTGTGGGCAGATGAATTCTGCTTGCTCAGCTGTGGTGGTTCCAGCAGCAGCTCCCGTGACTGCTCTCAGAGCTCACCCACCCTGGGAGCTGCTCCAGCCTGGCCACGGGGTCCCCAGCATGTCAGCTGCACCATCCCCAGTGAAGGACGGCTCATATCCCAAAATCTCAGAAGTGCCTTTTTCCCCTGCTCAGAGAAATTGTATTTACTGGACAAGAACAATGACCAGGCTTGGGATGAGTTCATATACAAGGTTTTGGGACATGATTAACAAAAGCCCTTCACATGCTCCACTCTTATGTTGGAAGTAAGTGGTGCAGATGTGAGGCAGCCCCTGACTCCTCTCACACAACCCCGTGATGGACAAGCAGATGTTTGTCCCTGCGCCTCATGGACACCTGCAGCCTCCTGAAATGCACCTTGTCCCACACCTGTGCCCCTTCTCTGCCACCAGGTGCTCAGTAAACCAGAACCCCCTTCTGGGGCAGTGGCCTTCTCCTTTGCCAATGTTTTCTTTTCCCTTGGCTTGGGGACAAACCAGCAGCAAGGTGAGCAGGCAGCTTCCTTGGTCTGCAGAGAGGATTTCTCTTCCTGGAAAGGTTAACTGCATACGGATTGAATCTTCCCTGTAACTAACAGAGAAATGGGGGGAGTGGGAAAGAAATAATTTCTGTGAAATTGTGCCCTGGTTCAGAGCAAAGACCAGGAAACGGATCCTCTATTAGCCTGCGCACTTTTTAAAATAATTCCTAAAATGCAGCAGTACCTGTCCATCTGGCCAGAACTGCCTGTGACAATTTCCTCTTCCCCCATCCAGAACAACAACAAAAAACATAAAACCCCCAACAACCACAGCAAAGCCTGTCTCTGCTCCTGCTCCCCAGGAGGCTGAGCTGCCCCAAGCTTCTTATCTAAAGCTTTGCTCGAGCTCGATTCTTTAGCCGGGAGCTGAAGAAGCCCCGCTGCCCCTCCCTGGGGCGGCAGCGCTCGCATCAACTCAGGAGCCCAAAGGCGGCTCGGGTTTCAGCCGAGGCTCGGGGAAACGCAGGAGTTGGGTTACCAGGTGTCTCCAGTGCCTCGGGGGAGAGATGGGGAAGGCTTGAGAAGCGCCCAGCAAAGTGCGAAAATGCGAGTGATGGCACCAAACCAGTCAGTCAGTGCCCTCCTCGTGTTTCATCTTCCTCGTGCGTTATTCCCTGAGCTCAGGGAGTTTCTACAATCAACGGGCCAGCAAACATCACCCCGCTGTCTCCCTGCTTCGTTCCTGCAGGATGCCGAGCACAGCAGAGCGCTCTGTGCCCTGGGTTTGGTTTTATTTATTTTATTTTTTTTTTTGGTTGTCTCGACCTGATCCTCTGAAGCCCCCCTGCGGCTGAGCAGGAGCAGCGGCGCTGGGAGAAGCTGCCCCAGGTAAGTTTTGGCAGCCACAAGGTTTGGGCTGCAGCACAGGGAAGCATCACCCGACATGCGGCGAGTCTGCCGTGTCTCAACTGCTCTAAAAGGAGTTTTTTTACTAAAAACTCCCCACTGGTAGCCAGCAAAGGGGAGCAAATGGCACGGAGGTGACACTGGGGTCTCTTAACTGGCCAAAGCCCCATCCCCAGCAGAACCGAGGGCGGAAAGGGAAAAGGGCCGGCCCGTGGCAGCCCCCGCTCCCCGCGCATCTCCCCAGCGCCGCTCACCCGCTGCCAGCTGCATCCAGGCACACACTTTGTAGACGGTGGCTGCGTTGCAGAAGAAGAAGAGGCTGAAGCAGAGGATGGTGCCGATGATGAGGAAGGTGGAGATGCCCACGAAGAACATGGCAGTTTTGAAGGCACTGGAGGGGATGGTGCCGAAGTCCAGGGGGCTGCCCTTGCAGATGAGCTCACCGGTGAGCGCGTTGCCGATGCAGTAGGAGAAGAGGCCGAAGTAGCCGGCCTGCGGCGTGTCGATGCTGTCGCCGATCCAGTAGGGCTGGATGAAGGTCACCACCATCAGGATGGAGAAGCAGAGCGTGAAGAGGGCCCAGAGCACCCCCATGGCCCGCGCATTCCGCACATAGTTGGTGTGATAGATCCGGGCCGCCTCCTGCGCCGGCAGCAGCTTGGACATGGCGGGGGCAGCGCTCCGGCCCCGCTCCGGCCCCGGCCCCGCTCCGGCCCCGCTCCGGCCCCGCTCCGGCCCCGCTCCGGCCCCGGCCCCGCTCCGGCCCCGCCCGGCGGCCGCGGGGGCGGCGGGAGGCTCCGGCAGCGGCGGGCCCGCCCCGGGGGGCGGCGGCGAGACCTCCTCCCACCCCCGGCGAACCGGGGAGGACTCGGGAGGAGCCGGAGCGACCCCGCTGCGGCAGCCGGGGCGGGCGGTGCCTCTCGGGATGCGCTGCCGGGATGCTCCCGGAGCGAGCCCCGGGGATGCGCGCTGCGTGCCTGGGATGCTCTCTCGGGATTCGCCCTCCGCCTCCTTCGTGTGCCCGAGGATAACCCGAATATCGCCGGTGCGCACCCCGTGGTCTGTGCTGGGGTGCACCCTGCGCCCCTGGGCTGTGCCCCTGTGCCCCTGTGCCCTGCAGTGCGCTCAGGGGTGCGCTCCGTGCCCCGCTGTGCCCCCAGTACCGCCCTGGGCTGTGCCCTGCACACCAGGGATGGGTGCGGGGATGTGCCCGGGCTGCACCGTGCACCCCTGGGTGTGTCCCAGCATGGGCCACACGCCCTGGGAGGCATTTTAGGATGAGACCCAGGGTGTGCCTTGACCTCCAGCGTGTGCCCCAGAGTGTGCCAGGGGCTGTGCCGTGACCCCCAGGGTGTCACCAGGCGCTGCTGTGTGCCTTGCGATGTGTCCCAAATTCTGCTGGCTGCTCCCCTCTTCCCTCCCAGCCCGTGTCACCAGGGTCTTCCTACACTGGCAGGGAGGGCAGGGAGGGCACATCCCCACAGCTCCGCTGCAGAAAGGGAGATGGCTCATCCTGCGAGCAGGGCACACCAGCGTGCCACCAGCACCTGGGCAAGGCCAGGTCTCTGCCCAGGGCCCATGTCCTGCTGCCAGAGGAGCATGGGCAGCCCCAGAGGGCTGCAGGCACTTGTAGCCACCTTGGCACCTCTCTCCAGGAGCCACATCTGCCCCGCATCCTGAGAGACCACACAGGTTCAGCTCCTGCCGTGGGCACCAGTTGCACGTGACAGTGTGACAGTCACCCTGCAGCCAGGGCCAGCCTCAGCTGGCCGTCACTCCTGTGGCTGTCAAAGGCCAGGGCTATGTGGCCATTAATCATGTCCAAGAACAGCCAAGCCACTGTGGGCATGAAAATCTGTGCTGTTCCCAGGGTTGTTTCCTTTCAGCAGCCCCACCCCCCCAAGGACTGAAACGCAGAGCAAATATTTGGCAGGGCAGGCCGAGGTGCTGGCCCTTGGGCTGGGGACCTTGGTGGGCTCTGGGTCCTTGCAGGGGGCTGTGCTATCTTGCACAATATGAACTTCCTCCTGCAGTTTCCTGGTGTCCATGATTCCATTTGAGAGATGGAGGATCTGGTGGCTTTGCCATGGAGCAGATCTCCTGCCATGGCAGCCAGCCCTCAGTGTGCCCATGAACCATCAGCAGCACCCAGCACGGAGGGCATTCCAGAGAGCTTCAGCTCCGCAGCCCACTGCGGGAAGCAGAGGAGGGAAAAGAAGCACAGAAGTGCCATTATTTTGTGTTCTTGTGGCCAAAGGAGCTGCTCAGGGCAGGCTGACATGGCCGGTGGGGACAGTCACATGGGAACAGCACCTGGTGGCCCTGGGAACAGGATCTGGTGGCCCTGGCTGCCCAGGCATCGCTGGGTCCCTGCCCTGGGCAGTGCAGCAGTGCCCTGGTGCCACGGGCTGAGGTGTGATAGGAGCAGCCACGTCAGCTGGGGGACACTGGGGCTATAAAACACCTGCTGGCCCCGTGGCACAGCCACAGCAAGCCCACCATGGCCAACGTGCTGCCTGCCTGCCTGCTCCTGGCCCTGCTGGTGCTGACCCCAGCCCTGCTGACACAGCAAGAGCAGGAGCAAGGGCAAGAGCTCACCTTCAGGCTGGTAAGGGGGCACCAGCCCTGGGCTTGGCACAGGATGCTCCCACTGCTGCAGGGGACACGCACGGAGGGCTGGAGGTGTCTGCTGGGTTTTCTGGTGCTGTGAGGGGACTTGGAGCCTGGGGAGTTATAAGGAACTCAGAAAATGGATCAGACAAGCTCTCAGCTGCTTGAGCCAGCCAGGACCCCCACCCTGGATGGTTCACAGGGCCTGGGGAGGGGAAATGCTTTCCCTTTGGTGTCTCAGCCCTCCTGTGAGTCCTGCAAAATACACTTTGGTGGGTGGTATTTTGGGCCAGACTGTGGAAATGCTGCAGAGTGGGAGGTTGGGGCATGGGGGCAGTGGTGCTGAGCCTCAGCCGAAAGGCAGAGCTGGTGTTCAGCACCAAACCCCATGGGTTCCCAGCCAGGCTGAGATTAAAGGGGAACAAAAAGGGGAACAAAGAGGTGCTCAGGCCCTGCCTTGTGCTGCAGGACATTGGGGAGCTGTGCCTGCAGAGTGTCCAGTGCAAGAGCGGCTGCTGCCACCGGGAGAACGGCCTCAGCCTGGCCCGATGTGCCCCGAAGGCAGCAGAGTCCCAGGAGTGCTCTCCAAAGGTAGGTGCTGCCCTGCTCCCAGGGCTGGGCAGGGATGGGGCACGTCCCCCACGCTGCACTGAGTCCTTGTGCCCTGCAGAGCATCTATGGGGTCTACTACAAGTGTCCCTGCGAGAGAGGCTTGTCCTGTGATGCCAACAGAACCATCGTGGGCTCCATCACCAACAGCAACTTCGGCGTCTGCAAGGACCCCCGGGACTTCTAGAGCCCCCGCTGTGCCCCTCTGTGCTGCCCCTGCCACCCTGCCTTTCCCCCTCTCCAGGCATCCCTGAGTCTGGCTGTGGGAGAATTTGAATTAAGACCAGCTTCTGCCAAGCTTCAAGGTGGTGTTTTCACTCAAGCCAGGTCCCTGGCCCAGGACAGGGACAGCAGGGCAGCAGGTCCTGGAAGAAGCCACCCTGACATGATGGCTTTACCTGTATTGTGTGCAATCATACACCAAAGTGGGCTAGGCCAGCAGCGAGCCATGGGCTGAGCTCTGCTCAAGGGGAGTTTGAAAAAGGGGATGCAGGGAAGGGGAAGATGCAGCAGCCCCAGGATCTGAGGGAGCTGCTTGGGCTGTGCTTGCCTTGGTGAGGAAGAGGAGGCGCCTGTCTGGCAGAGCTGTGGAAGCAGCAGGAGATGAGGGGATCATAGAGAGGGAGTTCTTGGCTTCTCCAATGCAGGCTTCACCCCATGCTTTTCTATCCTGGGGGATCACAAAACCAGGCACCTCCAGCATCACTCCCCACTGCCCCGAGGGCTCTGCAGCAGATGGGGAGGCCACAAAGGCTGGGGGCAACCCCTGGCAGCTGAGGAGGTGCTGCAGGAAACTTTCTTTTCTGGACAAGGGTGACTGGCAGCTTGATCTGCAGCTGCAGAAACACCAGGGACACATCTGGGAGGGTGGCACAGCTGGGGGGAGTCCCCATTGTGGAAGGGGAACATGGGGGGCAATACAGGGACCTGCTGGCCCTGCCAGTCTGGCTCAGAGGGGCTGCAAGAGAGGAGCAAATTCTGAGCTGGAATTTAGTTTTGAGCTTGTGGCGGGTGGGTAGAATCTGAAGGGTCTTGTTCTCCCTGTCGTGGTGGTCCTGGCAATACAGATCCATGTCCTCACCGGTGCAGGATGAGGTGGGGGGAGCTGGGCACAGGGACGGGGACAGCAGCCCCTGTCCTGCAGCATCCAGCCAGCCCCGGGCAGAGCGAGGGGAGGGCACACGGGGCACGGGGTCTGTCCCTGGGCTCCTCATCTCTGCGGGCTCCCAGCCCCGCTCCAGCAGCTGCTCCCCAGCAGCGGGAGCGCCCCGGAGAGGCTGGCACTGCCCGGGATCGGGGCAGCCCTGCGTGCCCAGGATGCGAGCAGCGCCCAGCCCCGGCAGCGGGCAGGACCCCCGCCCGGCCGGGACCCCCGCCCAGGGACAGCGCAGCCCCGGAATGCCCCCAGCCCTGCCACCCCTCTGCTCCTGCCGAGGGTCCCCTGGGAGGACGGGCAGGGATGTTTGGGGCTAACCCCTGGTGTGTGCTCGATGGGGTTTTGTGGTGTCGCCGTTTTATTTTGTGGGGTCCCTACGCTGGCAGAAGGACGATGGGGGCACCAGAGAGGTGGGGAGGGGGTGGCTGTGCTGGGGTGGGGGTCGCATAAATCTCCCTCCCCCCGCCCCATCTCAGCCCTATATTTACTGGTGAAGCCGCAGCTTTGTTTTGGCAGCTCTGGGCTGGTAAATATTGGCTTAAACCGAAAACCAGACGCCTGACTCACGGCGTCTTAACAAACACAGGAAGGGGCCCCCGGCGCTTGTGGGGTGCTGCCAGCCCTGGGGACAGGGGGACCCCCGGCAGGGTGGGGACAGCCCCAGCTGCAAAGCGCGGTGCCAGCGGGGCATCCTTGTGCAGGAGGGCTTTGCTGCAGCGAGATTCCCTGCGGGGAGACCTGGGCCACGGGGGAATACAAGGATTGGGGTGCCCCTTCCTCCTCCGCTGCCCTGCACAGGGCTCTCCGTGCTTGGCTAAAGAGCAGCGGGGAATATGAGACTGAAGGGACGCTGGGGGTGAGGGCAGCCCAGGACCCTCCCCAGCCTCACCCCATCAGCAGGATCGTCCCCCCTGTGCGAGCCCAGCCCCTGCGGGGCACCAGGAGGTGTGTGGCACATCCCCCGCCCCTCGCCCCCTCGCCCCCCGGCCGCTGTCACCCCAGGGTACAGGATGTTCTCACCCAGCCCCGCTCCCCAGCCTCCCCCCCTTCCTCCAGCCCTCGGCCTTCACCTCTCCTCCTCTGCTCTGCTTTAACCCTTTTTTTCGCCCCCAAGCACCGCCTTTTCCTCTCCTTCTTTTTCTCCTTCTCGAGTTCTTTTTCATTTCTGCGCAGATGCACTGAAACTCCCTCTCTGCCCGTTCCTGGGGCGTCCCTGCACCCCCAACTCGCTGCAGCTCCAGTGGGGTGCTCACCCAATGCCCAGCTTTGCAGACACCCCCAGCAAAGTCACCCCACTCCCAGCCTCGCAAAACACTCCGAGGAAAACTTTTGTGTGTGTGTGTGTGTGTGTGTGTGTGTGTGTGTGTCTGTCTGTCTGTCTGTCTGTCTGTGTGTTTGTGGATGTTTGCTCGTTCAGCCCTCGCCCCGGGGGCACAGAGGCTGCCAGCCCCAGCCCCGGCAGGGGGGGAATGTGTTTTTTGGGGGTTTGAGCTGCCCTGGCCCCCACGGTGGAAAGGACAGGCAGCAGCCCTGCAGCTCCAGCTCAGGACAGTGATTTCAGCAGGGGAAAACCCCTAATTAACCCCGTGTCCCCACACACTGCGCGCCCCACCTTGCTGCAGCCTGGGGTGACGATGGTGACCCTGCAGCAGGGTCCGAGGCACCCCTGGGCTTCGGGCTGGGGGGCACAGGGGGGGCTGTGGGGCGGTTCAGGGCTGCTTGTGCCTGAGGGGTCCCCCAAAGCCATCCGAGAGTGCCCAGAGGGGTTTGGGGGTGCACAGAGGCACCTGGGGCTCCCTGCCTGCTGCTGGCTCTGGGGTTTGGTGCCCCCCACAAGCCTCGACCCCTGGTGGTGCTCAGGGCGAAGCCGTGGCTGGGGCAGCTTGGGGGGGCAGCAGCCCCTCTCGGGGTGTCCCTTGGCCATAGCAGCATCCAGAGGGATGGAACACATCCTTGCAGGGTGTGGGACACCCCAGCCTGCACCAGGGATTTGGGGAATCCCAAATCCTCGGGGAGATGCCCCGGTCTGCCCCCACCCCCTCAAGCTCCAAGCCATGGGGCACAATGGGGTGCAGACCCCAGGGATGTGGGGGGCTGATCCTGTGGCTGAGGGTTTTCCTAAATCTGGGCCAGGTTTTCACTGTGCCAGGGAAATGATTTTAGGATGAAGCTGGCGAGAAGCCATCCTTCAAGCTCTCTCTGGAAGAAAAGCAACCTTTCTAGCAAAAAGAAAAAAAAAATTCATGGAAAGCTCTGGTTTGCCACTTCTTGCCAAAACCAGTTGTTGATGATTTTTCTCGTCTGCTTTGGCTTTGCCTTTGCCTGTGACAGAGGGAAAAATGACAGACATGCTCCTGTTTTCCCACTCTGATTTTTTTCTCCTGAAGCTGGGAGAGGAGAAGGATTAGACTGAAGGACAGGGACCCCTCCTAGGCAAGCATCAGCCCCAGGGGCTCCCAAACCTGGCACGAGGATCTCAGTCTTCCCTCCATCCTCAGGGTTGGCCTTGGGGCTGGAAGTGGGGTCCCTTGAGATATCCCCCCAGAGCTGCCGAGGGCTGAGGACTGCCCAGCTCAGGGCAGTGGTGGAGGTTGCAAACTGGACATGGGGATGCAGAAGTGGCCCTGGGAGGACATCCAGGCACCCACAGATCTCCACAAGCCCCCCCTGATGCTGCCCACGAGGGCACAAGTGGGAAAAAAATCCTCCTCCTGAATAATTTGAGCTGCTGGAAGTGGTGCACGACAGAGAGGTGGGGAGGGCAAGGAAGGGATGTTGGGCTGCAGCAGCTCGGGGGGTGTTGGAGGCTGGGTGCTTTGCCAGCCTGGGGGGAAGTGCTCCCTGCAGCTGGGTTCCCCCTCAGTGGGTAATTTTAGCCTTAAATTCCCTGAAAAGCTGGCGAGCTGGGCCGGGGGAGCAGAGCGAGGGTGAGGAGGGGAGGATTCCGGGGGATACCTCCATGACATTGATGGGGATTCACTCTGGGGGTGCTGGGGTTGATGTTGGGGGCATGCGGGGGTTGAGGCCGGGGGGATGAGGGGGGAGATATCGGCAGGGACATCGGGGGGGACATGGGGGGAGCAGGGGGGGGATGCTGGGGTGGGATATTAGGGGGGATGTTGAAAGGGATGACGGGGGGGTCCTGAGAGGTGCTGGGGGGAATACTGGGGGGATGCTGAGGGACACTGGGGTGGGATATTAGGAGAAATATTGAAAGGGATTATGGGGGGGTCCTGAGAGGTGCTGGGGGGAATGCTGGCGGGGATGCTGGGGGGATACTGGGGGGACACTGGGGTGGGATATTACAGGGGATATTGAAAGGGATGACGGGGGGTCCTGGGAGGTGCTGGGGGGAACACTGGGGGAGATGATGGGAGGATGGTGGGGGGATACTGGGGTGGGATATTACAGGGGATATTGAAAGGGATGGCGGGGGGGTCCTGGGAGGTGCTGGGGGGAACATTGGGGGGGATGCTGGGGGCATTGCTGGTGGCTGCCGGGGGGATTGCCGGGCGGTGGTGCTGGGGCCACACCGGAGCGCGGCAGCCAGGAGCCCCGGGCGAGCCCAGCCGCTCGCCGGGCCGTGGCTGGCGCTGGCCGGGTGCCTCCCCGGCGGCCCGGCGCTGAGTCAGGCTGTTCCCGGCGCTCCCCGGCCGGTACATCGCGTCCCCGTCCCGGCGCCTGGCACCGCGCCCGCCCGGTGCCGCTCCCGGCAGGGGCACGGCCCGCTCCGGCCGCGGCGGCTCCCGGCCAGGAGAGGCTGAGAGCGGCTCCGAAACCCCGGCGGGGCTTCGTGGGGCTCAGCCGCAGCGCTGACCCCCGAGCCACGCTCTGTGCCCAGCCCGGCTGTGCCCCCGACCCGCCGCTCTCCGGGCGGCGCCGCAAGCATTGGGGCACCTGAGGGCGATCTGCAGGAGTTCTTGGGTCTCGGATCCGTCCGGCAGGAACATCTGCATGGAAGGACCCAGCCTCCTCACAGCGGAGCGTCCTCGGGGGATTGATGCCCCCGTCACCCCTGTGCCCACCCCCGGTGCTGCCAGCTCGCACCCCCACGCTGGAGATGGAGCCCCAGGCACCCCCAGGCACCCCCAGGCACCCGCCCTCTCCGCCGGAGGCTGGTACAGTTCGTTACGTCCAGA